CACTACACTCTCCTCCTCCCTCTGTTCTCACATCAGAGCCAATATCTACGAAGCCCAAACTGGTTTATAACATCAGTGAGCCTGACTTAAATGGATCCTGCACAGTTTATCTGGAATGCAGAGCAGCTCCTCACAGAAACACCAACTACATCCTGACTGTAGGAAACCAAACACATGAAGGCCCCAAGCTGCATTACCACATCACAACACAAGATGGAGACACAACAGTCACCTGCAATGCCTCTAATGCTGTCAGTGAGATGTCAGCATCAGAAACATTGAGGTGCAAAAACAGCACTGACAGCCTCTCTAACAAAGGTAAGTGCAGATATGAGCTGTTTGTAGATAACATCTGAAATTATTGTTTTTTATTTATTTATTTTTATCTGTTGAGTTCATTGCTCTTTAAAAGGTTACAATTTCTGATCCAGCGTTGGCTAATTAACTTCTTGCAATACTTAATAAAATTCGGGTGGGTTGAGAGCTATGATGATATTTAATACTTGGTAAAACTATGGAAATTGATAATCAGGGGTTAGAGATACACTTTAATAATTTTGAACAGTGATATGTACTAATAATACAGTTTTATATGATTTAATACACATTACATACTAGGGGAGTGAGAAAAAATATATTCTGTCAAATATTGAGATATTTTATTAGATTATTTTTGTAAAAATAAAAGAATGAAGCCTAATGGATCTTAAATGTAAAAACAATTTATATCCAGACATCCATTTAGTTTCTTACTTTTATATAACGCTTGTTGGCAGCAATCGCCTCAAAGCCTGTTATTCAGCTGCATTGCACCAGCAGTGCCACAAGACATTGTGAGATTTCTTAGGGCTATATCATCATATAAATCACAATATATAATCCTTGTTCATGTATCCGAATATATTGTAATCAGTGGTATTGTTACACATGCATAGATATCCATATGTCACTGCCAAATTCTTGCCAATTTCAAGTGCTATTACTATTTATACCATATTATTTCCCTATTGATTAAATCAAATCCTGACATGACTCATGTATATTTGTTCTTTTGTTTTATTATTTTCAGTAGCATTTTACATGACATTTGAGATGGTATTCTGAAGCACTGAACACCGTCCCTCTGTTGTCCAGCCATTGATGAGCTGTTTGGTTTAATGCAGTTCGTGTTGTTTGCAAGAACTTTCTTCCACAGGTGCGGGCAAAAAAAAGTCCTAATTGATAGCAAGGTCTGACATAGTGCAGGGGTGTTTTAAAATTTTTGAAATAATCGAACAAAACATGTGCATATTTTTTCTAGCTTAAAATTCTTGTATTATTTGCGCCCCTGTAAAGTACAGGAACAACTTTTTCTCCTGTACGTTTTTGGCCATTTCTCAGAACAGAAGGCTTGGTGATGGTAGGGACACTTTTGCATCTCAGCTACAGACGGTTAACCTTTCACACAACTTCATGTTTAAAAACTTGAACTTTACCTTCAAAGCAAGAATATTTTGTAGCGTAGGTCTTCAACAGGGGGTCAACGACCCCTAGGGGTCTACGGAGGTACCGCATGGGGGTCGCAAAAGTTTTGGCTGATTAGACTTTTTTTTTTATATTCCCCCTGCAACTTTTTCCAGGAATTGAAATGTCTTTAAATAAACATTAACACATATTTAACACACTCTAGTTAACAGATATACAGAGGCAGAAGATGTATTTCAGTCATCAATGCACACATTCAGCGACACACAGGAGCTCTTTCAAGCTGGGGTCCGTTTCATTCACAACACCTGCCCCATCAACCAGGAATCAGGATCAGAAATACTTTAATAATCCCAGGGAGAAATAACTTTTGTTACATTACTACATACGTAATAGAGTTACTATAGGATCAGTTAAGAATAACACAATTTCATGCATTATATATAATTAGGGGGCCCAGCTCCATCCCGCCATCAGTTTGAGGATCCTTGGCCTGGAAAATGTTAAGGACCCTTGCTTTATAGTCTAAGCTATTTTATTGTTAAATTGGCTGTACTTAGGCTAACTGTCCTGTGGAAAGGTAAAAATTATTAATTATTCGGATTGCAGTGTTTGTGTTCCTCCATAAATAAGGTTTTAGTTCAGAGCACTTTCCTCCGCATCTGACTGTTTCCACCATTAAGCCAAATGTGGCGAATTCTCAATGAGACTAATTTAGCTCTTTTTCAACAAAGCTCAGTTCTAACAACAAGTGTATAAAATAAAGATCTGTAGAGTAATACAACTAATAGATGTCCTGTCAACACAGCCTCCATGAGCTGTGGATTTCATAGTCACATGTCTGATTACGTATTGTTTAGATAGATGGTGTTATGGTCTGGCTCTTGAAAAATAACAAATTAATGGAAAGAAACGTACTGTTAAAATGGGTTTTATTTAACAAAAAATCAGTCATAAGTGGTTTCAGGGGAGAGGAAGAAAGGGGAGAAGGTGGCAGAGAGACAGAAAGGATGGGCTAGCTTCATGAGAAAGAATGGTGCATTTTACTCCAGATTCCACATCCTCCATCACCGCCCCGCCAAGATCACGTACGTCGTGCAGAGCACATGTGCAGTCATGCTAATAAATCAATGAGAACTTTTCCACATCCACCACTACTCCTCACCGTCCATGTACGTCTTCTCTGTACTTCAATTAAATTCAATTCAGTTTATTTCTATAGCGCCAATTCACAACACATGTAATCTCAAGGCACTTTACAGTTCACAAGATCATACAGTCAGATTGATTCAAAGTTTGCTATCTAGGAAAAACCAATTGATTGAGTCGAATGCAATCCCTCACTTCAGTATCAAAATATTGAGCCAAGCTATTTTGTGCTTCACTCCGGTCCGTTAGGAGCCGGCCAGGTCAAGATCTGCAATTGCAATCGTACCAAACAGGAACAAGAACATAGAGAGGATCCAGTTTGTCAAATTGAAATATGGCATCGACAGATCAGTAACTACAAATTAGAGCAGAATTCTTATATATTCCCAAAAACTAAGACCATTTAATTAAACTATCAGATGCAAATTATTGGTACTTCAACATACCAGGAAGCAAATTTCTCATTTTGATCAAAATATTTTATACTGATAGGCTTAAAAGCTTCATCAAATCCAGTTACAACAACTTCCAAGAGCATATGCTGATGAAGATTCTCAGTCATCCAGGTCATCTTCATTCCGTAAAAGTTTAAAAAACAATCCACTGGGAAACCAAGTCCAGTGGATTGTTTTTTAAACTTTTACGGAATTCCAAGAGCATATCTCACAATCTCAAAACAAACCTGTTATCGCAGGCATGGATAAAAAGATGCATATTTTGGAAGTAGAGAACAAACCCATTTTGTATGATCCTAATTATCCCTGTTACAAAGACCCTACAACGAAATAAAATGTTATGGAAGAAACACGTGATTGATGTTGATGGTAACTTTTAATTATTTGATATTAATTTAATTAAGCTTTCATTTCTGCATGTTGTGCACCTATGAATTTAATAATAATATTGTGCATGCTTTCCTCGAGCTCCAGGGAAGTCAAAGCAGAGCAAGATGGGAGAAAAGCAGAGGCTGAAGGCTTTGCTTTTCTTTAGTTTGCCATAGATATCAATTAAATTAAACTTTCTTAATCCTTGAAGGGAAATTCAGTTTCAGTAAAGCCCGTCCAAGAAGACAAAAACACACAGAAACACATTACTCAGACATACATGGGGGATGCGGTGTCCAAGACCTTGTTACCATAAAAAACAAAAGAAAGTTATCCCAAAAGGTGAGGGGAGAAAAAAAATCATATTTCATATTTTATCCGTAGCAGGATAAAGTTAGACCGCAAAAAAAACTCTGCACAATTAAGTGAACACAGATAAAACATGACATCTTGCAGGATGAACGTTCGAGAACATGTTTCTTGTCTTAGCCTCAGTGTGTTTGTATTTGTGTGGGGAAGTCCATGAAGCACAGTTCCCTGGGTTCATGTCGGAGAACAGTGCTTTTAATGTTAAAACGAGCTGCCAAAGCCCACTTCATATAGACCTACACATTAATCTAAGCAGCAATATTCCTCTTTGCCATCTTCCTCTCCTTTGGCGCTATAGCAATGTTGCTCTGTCTTTTTAACACATTCTCCATTTGTGTGTTGTTTGGGTTTTTTTGCATTAAAAAATCTCTTGTTCCAGTCAAATAGGCACTTCAGGTTGCCTGTCTTCATTGTGACTTGTTGAATCTAGGCTCCACTGATAATGGCTTTTCATACTTATTATGCACATATTCAACTCTGAGTGGACCTACTTAGAGTTGACTGAACTAACTCAGCAGCTTTTAAGAAACTGAAAATTTCAAGTTTTCAGCCTAAGGCTAGATCATTTCAGAGTTGAGTTGATTTGAGTTCGAGTTTGTTAAACCTGCTTATTAAAACGGACCCCTGCTCTGGGTGTACAAAGATCTCTGCACTCATTTTAAGATTCGCAAACGTTCTGAAGATCACACCCATGAAGTCTATTTGGTGAATTTTAAAAGAATTCTGACAGACCAAGAGAATCTTTCAAAGATTATTTTACCAAGAAAATTAGATGAATTGGGGAAATCTCTTGAGGAACAAGCAAGAACCTCTGAAAAGAGAGAGCTTAGTTTAGTGGCTAATGACAAGAGTCAGACTTTATTTAGAATGACAGTGAAACCATTGACCTTTGTTAGAATCAGGAAGGGGGTTTTAGGTGCTTTTTCTGGTGCTGTGAGAGCAGTCAGTGAGGGAGCTGATACAGCAGACAGCAATTCCACTGCAAAAACGATATAAAAATAAGTCAAAATTTCTTAAATTAAGTGTATTTACCCTTAATTTGAGCAGGTAAATGAGATAGTTTGCCTATGGAATGAGTATTTGTACTCTTAAAATAAGATAATTGGATAAAATGCTCTTGAAATAAGACAATGCAATTGTGTTTTCTTATTTTAAGTGTAAATTGTCTTGTTCCATTGGCAAAATGTCTCTTTTACCTCCTCAATTCAAGAACAAATGCACTTATTATAAGAAAAAATGACTTATCTAGATTTAGATTTTTTGCAGTGTCAGCAGTAAAGAGGGCAGCTTTCAACTGCTGCAGCAGCGATATAACTGACTCATAAAATTATCCCAAATACACGCGCAGGTGACACACAAAAGAAGAAGTCAGTTAATGAATTATGATGGTTGGCCAAAGGTCAGAGGCTGAGGCAAAAAAATTAGGTCACTGTCTAGAGATCAGTTAAAGGCATGAAATATTAGACATCATGTTAGAAGAGCTTTGATAATCTAGTGGAGGGCTGTGGGCACGATAGCATCTAAATAGACCAGTAAATATGTGAGCCATGAGGGCTGCAGAGCAGGTAGGAATGATTGGAGGTAGAAAAAGGCATAAACAATAACTAAATGTGACAAAGTTTATATAATGTTCTTATTGTGTTGGTCTATTATTATTATAACAATAAACCCACTGGCCACCCATATTACATTAGGGCCCTAAATTTAGTCTCTCAAAGCCTTGTTTTCAAGGGGAAACCTCTGTTTGAGAATGTCTCCTTGATCGGCTTTGGTTATTTCTATGAGTGTCTGTGTGTTCATTACTAATACAGTAATATGGAACTAAAAAACATGCAGAATATTGCCAGGAGGGAAGTTGTTAATGAAGACCTTCTCTTGTGCATAAAATATCACAATCCTATGCAAACTTCTTTTTATTCTTTCAGCTTTTGTAGTTAAACATGGCTCACTGTTAATATGCTCTGTTAACAGGTGAATTGCCCCTTGTGTGGATTCTCAGTGCAGCAGGAGGATGTTTGCTGATCATTTTTATCATAATAGTAGTGATCCTCTGTCTCTGCAGGAGAACGTGGTCTGGTAAGTGATTGTTCAATATTAGATTTCTTCCATCAGAGCATAACTACAGTGTTTAAATAATAACTGGTGTATTAATGATTTATTTGTTTTCTGCAAGGAGGCAGTGATTCAAACGAACTCACTGTATATGCTGATATCTCTGACTTTTCACCTGAAGTTGTAAGTATTCTCATGTTTAAAATAAGCTAATGTTTAAAATTGCCTAAAGTTTCCTAAGTGACTGTTTTTTATTGATTCAGGACACCTCAGCTAATTCAAAGGTCTGTTCTTTATACGACACTGTCAATGACAACGCCGGTCACGGTCAACAAATGGTAAGATGCTAAACTCATTTTTATACTTCAATAACCGAAGAATGTGATTTAAAAATACTTTAGCCTTATTGTACAAATCGGTAGAAATGTTTTATTGTTGCCATCCACATTAATGAAACTGCAATTAACAGGCAGTAAGCTAAGTTCATACTGATGGAGCGAACTGCCTGTATACATTATTGGAAAACACTAAATTACTTGTTGTTTGTCTCTTGTTTTCTTTTTCTTTTTTTTCTTTTTTTAGTTTTTTTGTTTTCGAGAAACCCTTACGTTTTTTTTAGCAATGTTTTTCTGGTAGATAAAATTTCACCACACAGCGTTTAGTAAGACTTCTATCATACTGTGACTAACATTTCTTTTACTCTATTTTTTCATCCAAATAGCCCCAGACAATCTATGATAAGATCCAGATTGAACGTATGAGGAAGGCTTCCTTGTCTCCATACCAGGAGATTTCCTAGATGCTCTCAACATGCTGGAATTTTTTTGGTGCAGCTTAGAAGAGAGGTTAAAAACAAGCCCGGTAGAAGTAAAGAAGAAAACATCGATGAGACCGATTCCCAGACCCAGTGACGTGTTCAACAATTTTGAAACAGAGGATGATTTTGTTACAAAATGCAAAATGCTTTTTAAATCCAAATCACACAAGTATCTATTTGTGTCATTGACTTTGAAATGTATGCTGTTAAGTGTGCAAAATATGTATGTTAAGAAAGCCCAAGAAAATGTGAAAGGAACTAACTGGTCCACGTAATCTGAAACAATACCTCGTTCAGATATAACTGGATGATGTGGAAAGGTATCCACTATTATTATTTTTTCATTAAATATACCGTAGCTTACAGACAATTATTAACAGGCTATTCAGAATTTCTGTTTATTTTAACATTTTTTTTCATGCCTTTGCTAAATTTGATAACAAAAGTATGACTTCCTCTTTTTAAACATGTCACTGGAATTTGTAATTTATTTGTACAGCTTGTAAATATTTAGATAATATAAACATTTTATACCCTCTTGCAAACGTCAGCTTGGGTGATCTATTGTTTGTCTTATATCTAGTTGTATAGTCTTTTGTCCATCTGTTTAACTGCTTTTTTTTTAAGTTCTTTTATATTCTTAGGAAACAAAATAAAAAGTTTTCAAAGCTTTGACCTCTTTTGAAAACATATAAGCATTTATCATTCAGATTTAAGTTCTGAATGACTGCCTCAAAGTTTTCAATTTCTTAAAAAAAATGGACACAGCAGATTTTTGTGATGTTGGACAATGAAACCTCAAACATAATTTTAGAACTTTATTTCAGATACAACTTGAAGCATTTCATGTCCAGTTTAAAAGATGAAACAAATATTTTTAAAAGGAAATCCAAAACATGTGGCCAAGAATCATTTAACTTAGAAATAATCCTAAAGAACTTAATTATAATGAATAAAAAATATTACCACAATTGAAAAAGGAAAAGTTAGATCATCTAAAAGTGTTTTATTTAAGATAGGATCTCTGACCTCAAAAAATGTATTTAAATAAAATGATCTATTGGTCTTATAGGAACCTGGCTGCAACAAGAGGAGGCAAATACCTCCCGCTATTTAAATGTTCATTTACCCAAAAATTCTGGATGAGGAGGAGAAGTAGCACCAGCCTTTCAATCTGACTTAATGATTAGCCAAAAGACAGTTAAAAAGGTACAATTCTTTTTAACATTTAGCCCTTAGTTTCCCCCATCCAAACCATAAAGCAAATGAATATTAATTTAAAAAAGCAGTAAATCTCTTAATTTATAAAACAGAATAAGAATAACCCTACATTTCCTTTTAGTATAATTGTCAAACTCAAATCGAGTATTAGCTCTTCATGGTGTTAGCATAATCTCTTGTTTTCATTAACAGTCAAAAAACATAATTTTTACGTTAATTGGTGTCACTAAATTGTCATTAATGTGTGTGTTTGTACTTGTTTATGTTACCTTTTTTACACTGATTTTGGTATATTTACTAATTCTTGGGACCAACAGGCCTCATGGGGACTGAAAGCTGTTCTTTATTTGGCAGAGCCCCATTTTTAACCTTAGAGAATCAATTTAGAGATATGGTATCAATTAACTTTAGGTTAAGGTTAGTGTTAACAATATACTGGTAATGATTAGGGTAAATGTCAGGGTTAGGTATAAATGCAATAACAAAAATGAATGTAAGTAATTATAAAGTCTTAATATGGACAAAGTCTTTATCTGGATATGTGTGTGTGTGTAGGTGTGTATGAGTGTTGGTATGGGAGTAATGGCCTTTTTTCCACAATACCACAATAATGAGGACCAGTTGTTGTAAAGTGAGAACATTTTGCTGGTCCTCACAATTTTTTTTTCTTCTAATGATTAGGTTCAGGCTAAGATGTCAATTGGGTTAGGGTGAGGTATGCACTGGCAGTGGTTAGGTCTAGGGTTGGTTTTAGGATTAGGACATAGAAAGGGTTGAACATGACTGAAAATCAATTGAACACATGATACTCATATATAGCAGACCAAACATGGGTGTGTTTGAGTGTATGTGCGCATGGTTTTGTGTCTCTGTGTTGCACTGCAATGGATTGGTGACCTGTCAAGGGTGCACCCCGACTTTAATCCATAATACCAGCCCTGCCGCAACCCTAACAGATTAAGTGGGGAAGGCCTGATGGTTGAATGTGAATAAATAGATAGCCTGTATTACTTGATTTTATAAAGATTTCAAGTAATACACTATTGAAACATATTTCAATTAGAATTTAACATTCAGTAATTTTTTGTTGCAAGCTATCAACATCCTGCATCTTCCCTTTGGTGTAACAACACAGATTCTTCCAAGCTTTTAGATAGTGAGCACATATTTTCTCCAAAGTCCTGTTTACTTTCTGTTAATTGTGGTTCCTGGGGATGCTGAAGCATGGCAGAAAGGACATAGTGAAGCAGAGTCACCACATTGACAGGTGGAAGATTCACCATGAGGGAATTTTTTTTTTTTTACATAGTTTAGACCTACTCTAAACAACAACAGCCAAATATAATCAAATCAGAATTAGAAGACATGAAACTGATCTCTTAAGCTGCAACAAATAAGGGTGTTTTTTCTTTAAAGCTACAGTGTGTAGTTTTCAGCGACATCTAACGTCCAGACTGCAGACCGCAGCAACATGAACATCTCCCCCCCACCGCTTCTCCCCCCCAACAGTACGGCGAGCGTTACGGGACAAAATGTCTTCCACGATGTCCGCATCACCTACCTTCCCAAGCGATGAGGTTTGTTTACATAGATAATTTTACAGATAGTATTTCATTAGTCTGTGTAGGGTATAGATTTCAGTACCGTCTCAGTTCATCTCTCTCAACTTGCCGTAGTTACTTTCGAGCGTAATGGGCGATCTCGCAATGGCTAGTTTGTTGGCTCTGCGCTGCCGTAGCGCAAAGATGTCTGCCTCCATGGCTGCGAGACCCGCTCCTATGTAATTATAAATAACGAATTCTAAGGCAACGCAAATATTAAGGTTAAGAGGCTGAGCTCGTAGATGATGATAAATAACATAGTTATGTATAATATATTACATTTCTGACTGTATATCCCTGTAATTATTACACACTGTAGCTTTAAGTTGGTTCAGAATAACATTTAGCAGACGAAAACTGTGAAGTTTAATGAACTTATTTGAGGACCCAAATGCAAGGATGAAGAGGTAGAGATTTTTTCTTGCAAATTTAATTTGGAGGTAGATGGTAGAAAAGCGCAAATTCAACCAAAACTAGGAGACACCAGGGAGAAACATCCATGAGGAGTGAAGAGGATACAGCAATGAGTAACTGCAGACGAGGATGGGAGAGAACCACTCATCTGTATTTATTCACTGGATTGCTGATAGCCCAAAAAAGATGAAGCCATCTGCCGCCATCTTGGTACTCCCCACTCTCACAGAGACACTCCATAAAAATGCCTATGTGTTTAGCATTTGGCTGCAAAAACAGGCAGTTTGCTGGATGTGGGAAGACATTTCACAGGTAATTTTGTAGTCAGTTGATGTACTGACCAAGAGAATCTATATATGTGCCCATGTGACCCCTATTGCAGTATAGCATAACATTAGTCTTCCTACAAGGGATGGACTCGAAGACATTGACTGATTTAGCCTTTTGGCATTATGTCTAATATTAGAAAATAGAAAGTAGAGTAAATAGAATGTAATTCATTGTGAATGTCAATGTAGTAATTTTTGATCAAATGGATGATGCTGTCAATTTTGTAGTGTTTGCTTTATTTCTTATTTGAAAAAGTAATTTGCTGATATTGATGAAAATTTCCTTTAATTTCCTTTCCCTCAAAAGGAAACTTTAGAGCCCCCAAATTTCACCTGGGGTTCCAAAATGGGTAAGTCTGCCACCAAATAAAACAGACTCAAACGTTCTTATGTAGTTAGAAAAAAATAAAAAATGAAAAAGCTGTGGATTCCCTCAAAAAATGTTTTGTCTTCTACATAATTGTGATTTTTTTTTTTAAAGCATTTGTTTAATTAAAAATACAAAAATATGTTTGCCATACAGCTGCTAAAAGTAAAACAATCATGAATACAGATAAAAATTAAAAACTGGAAAAACTTTACGTACAATCTGTTGAATTTATTGGAAACATTATACACAATGGCTCTTTATTACAAAAAGATAAACAGCAATATGTTGGAGACTTCAAAAGCTAACTAGAAAAAATCTGAACATAATAAAAGTTTAAATTAGTAAAAATAGTTGCTTTGTGAGTCTACAGCATCATCTTTAGCTATCTGTACCATGGTTAAGATGAAAGAGCTTCAAACTTAATTATTTTTACTTCAAATGTAAATTGCCCCTGAAACTGTAAGAAAAATGTCATTTATATTATTTTTCTACCCATTCTGTAATGAAGTAAGAAATACACGAAAACATACCACTCAAATAAGACAGATAAGTGTTTATTTTGATCAATAAAGGAAATAAAATAACAACTATTCTAAATGTAAACATAACAACAAAGAGTAATACTAAAACAAATGAACCTTTTAATTAAAAAAAGGTACTTGTGGGTAAGGCCAACATATCTCCAAATTTTGTAGCATATTCATATTCATATGAATATTATGAACATTCATATTTATTCATAAAACATAATACTGATTTGTGGCCTCAAAGGTTAGGTCTTCCTTGGTTGCAGTGGGTGCAAATCAGGGGCATTGCTACGTAGGCACAAAGCTTTACTACCAAATTACCAGTTGAGATATTAATGAGTGTAAGAACATATTTATATCTCAACTGGTAATT